GTCTGTGTTGCATGTCCAGTCCAACTTGTTGTCCAGCCACAGCCCAAGGTACTGGGCTGGTCCAACCGGTTGAAGAAGGCATTCAGATTGTTGGCCTCCTCCACCGTCCCCCCTGCTGTTCTGGCTTTTGTTCTGAAGCCCGTGATGGTATTCACACCCTGCCAGACCTCCCTCATGGTGCTGCTCCACCTTCCTCCTGTAGGTGTCTTTGGCCTCCTTCAGGCACAGCTTCACCTCCGTCTGTGCTGCTCTGATTGCCTCCCTGTCTTTGTTCCTGAAGGCCACCTTCTTCCTGTTGAGTCAAATCAGACTGAACTTGTAAAACTTGTCCTGTATGAACTGTTCTTATCAGCTCTGGATGTCCACCAACCTGATCCTGTCCCATAAATACCTGCCAGCCTCACTGAGTCTTTCAGGGAGGATTGGACAGTATCCCACAGACCAACAGATTCATGACCTGTGATTTCTGCTCTATGAAGCCACTCTCAGTCTGACTATTATCATTTCTAATGCAGCACATTCTTGGTTGTTTCATGACATTTATACTCCTGGAGAGATGCAGCGTGCTGGAACAACAGACTCTGATTCCTCTGCGTTGAACAGAACGGTTAGAATTTAATGAGTGTTTATGTTATAGGTAAACAGCTAACTCACATGTTGTCAATTAACCAATCAGAAGCTTCCAAAGCCATGACATCATCATCTGGGCTTTCCCAAACAGTCTGAAGGATCTTAGTGGATGTAAACTTCTGACTCTGAAGAAAGTAATAAAAGATTCTCTCTCTCATTATTCTGGTGTTTATCAGATAGAACTAATGCTGGTGATCCTGACTGAGCTGAAACAGGAAACGTTTGGTCTGATTTAATGTCAGACTGAGAATAAAAGGTTTTATGTCAGTGGATGTAAACGTCTGGTTTCAGATGTAACTCCTCCTGTTGTAATGTGGTGGGAGAACATTAGAAACTCTTCTCAGTGTGGAGAGGTCCAGTTCAACGCCACTATACCATAAACATGTCCTGAACAAGAACACTAAGGCAGCATGTTCTGGAGTATCTCATTAAATTCTAACCGTTCTGTTCAACACAGAGGAATCAGAGTCTGTTGTTCCAGCACGCTGCATCTCTCCAGGAGTATAAATGTCATGAAACAACCAAGAATGTGCTGCATTAGAAATGATAATAGTCAGACTGAGAGTGGCTTCATAGAGCAGAAATCACGAGTCATGAATCTGCAGTTTTGGTCTGTGGGATACTGTCCAATCCTCCCTGAAAGACTCAGTGAGGCTGGCAGGTATTTATGGGACAGGATCAGGTTGTTGGACATCCAGAGCTGATAAGAACAGTTCATACAGGACAAGTTTTACAAGTTCAGTCTCATTTAAGTGAGAAAAAAGGTTATATGTCTTTCTATATGGTTCATGTAAACGTCTGGTTTCAACTGTATTCATAAAAACACCAGTAATGCTCTGCAGGACAAATGGTGGAGCTGTGGACATCTAAGCACCTGACCACAGCTCTACATGACATGCTGGCCTTTGGTCATGTGTGGCCTCATTCCATTTACAT